CAGCAAATAGTAATTAAATATTCACATCAGCCACCAGAATTAGCCATTTTCTGCTCGGACAGAGAGAAGGAGAGCACGGGGAAATCCAGAGGTGGAGGTGTGTGTCTTTTAATTAACCAGCGCTGGCGCATGGAAAGTTGTATTGTCAACCAAACATGCTCTGCTTAACCTGGAGTGTCTGGTATTAAGATGCCACCCATTCTATCTTCCCCAAGAATTCTCAGTGACTTTTTTATGTGCTGTATATATTCACACTCGGGCCGATTTGCTGCACTAAATGACTTAAGTGAAATTTTGCATAAACATGAGGCTGCTCACCCCAATATTGTTGGTGGTGATTTTAATGAATGTAACTTAAAGTCTGCATTACCGAACTTTTATCAGCATGTGAGTTCCACCTACCGGGCGAGCACACATCCTGGATCACTGCTATAGCAATGTGAAGGTCCAGTCTCAGACCTGCTTTTGGGAAGTCTGACCACTTCGCTGTTCTCCTTCTTCCTTCTTACACACAGAGGAGCAAACAGCACAAACCTACTTCCCGCACTGTGCAGTGCTGGTCTGAGGAGGCAAACATGAAGCTGCAGGGCTGCTTTGATGCCACAGACTGGTCTGTTTTTAACTCTGAGAATGTTGATGAACTTTGCTGTGACAAGGCTTCTTTGGCGAAGAGGACCCTCGACGCATGTGGAAGGGGATCAGTCTCATCACGTCCTGGAAACCAGGTGCAGGGAAAATTGCTGCTGACCAAGCTCTGCCAAATGAGCTCAACAACTTTTACTGCTGCTTTGAATCTGCTGATCACCTGCCTGTTGTCTTCCCCGAATGTCAGGGTGCCTTCACAGTGACTGAGGAGGAAGTCCGGCGGGTTTTGTCCAGGACCACAGCTCTGAAAGCCTCAGGTCCGGATTGCATTCCTGAAACTGTGCTCCGAGCAACTTGCCCCTGTTTTAACGGACATCTTTAACTCACTCAGGAGCTGTACAGTGCCGCTGAGCTTTAAAAAGTCCACCATTATTCCAGTTCCTAAGAAGTCTCCAGTGACATGTCTCAATGACTACCGTCCTGTGGCCCTCACGTCTGTTCTTATGAAAACTTTTGAGCGGCTTGTGCTGGACTTCATTAACCCTTTGATGCACAACATACGCACACCCCTATTAATGCACAACATGGGTCTAAAATGACCCGCATTCATTTCCCAGGTAATCTCATGCAGGCTGAGCATTTCTTTGCTGTTTCTTTTTAAATCAATGCATTTTATAATTCAATAATCCAAGTATTCTTTAAATATCTTGTCTTTGATTACCAAACATCAGTATTCATATTTTTCCTGCCTTACTTTTTGAACAAAATTCATTTTTGTATTACTATATCAAGATAACACACATGGGTCAAATATGACCCATTTATTCAATTGAGATTTAAAACAAAAATGAAGGCATGTAATAATACAATTTTGCTTCAAATATCTATTTTAGATGGGATTTGGGCCAAACAACCATACATTTAACCTTTTAAACGTGTTTATTTTTCATTTTGGAACACATACAAATACATCCGACGAAAAAAAAAAAAAAAAAAAAACTGCTGCATTGACCAAAATAAAATGAAATATAACTGATCACACCGGTAGAGCACAACTTGTCAATTCAGTTCTCAAGATTCCTCAAATATAGAAAAAGTGACCACTACACAATTGTGCTCATAGCACACAGGCCTCTTGCTCTGGGACCACCAGCTGCTGGCTTTTCTCTTTCTTTGGCAGATGGGTAGATTACACACCTCTTCCTCTTTCGCTGGGCACTCCTGTCTCATGTCCTCTTGTGGCTAGGTGGTGGCTGTGTTTTGTTTTTTGATCCCACATCTTCCCATTGCCTCTATGATATGCTTTTGGAGTGTGGGTGTGTCCTCCATGCGACAAGCTCTTTGCCCAGCTCCTACATGAATAGCCGGCATGCATTGGTGACCTCAACCATGTAACCAGTGTGTTCTGCAGTGAAGTTGATGTAAGCATTGAGGGTGGCAATATCCAGCCTAATGTACCAGAGCACCAAAGGCCACCTCCATGTTCTCCATTGTGTCCACTCCTCCTTTTGTTCTGTTGTAGTACTGTATCACTTCTGATTTCTTCTTCTGGCTGTCTTCATCCATTGCTCTGTTATCATGCATTGTGCTCAGGAGGATAACAGCCTTTGCCTTCTTCTGCACATGGTCATGTTGCCATTGAATCTGAATTCTTAGCTATGAATCACCCTTGACTTGGATGGCTTTATGATAGGTGGTATGTCTGGCTTGTTCTGGCGAAGGCCCACAATAGTCAGGTTCTTCTCGAGGAGCTTCTCAGCCAGAGGGACACTGGTGAAGAAGTTGTCCATTGTGATGTTGCGACCGAGAGGGTGTGGAAAGCAATGTGCTATAACTTATACATTATGTAAAGCTTTAATTTCCATTTTATATAATCACCTGTCTGTCTGATTCCGCTGCACAATTTTAGAACAATGTTCTTCCCAAGGTTCTTCTGCCCCTCCTCTCCTGGCTGTCTTCCTGTGTAGACAATTCCATCTATTGCATAATGGAGTCTTGCATCGCACATCCAAAAGATTTTTATCCCGTACTTCACAGGCTTGCTGGGCATATACGTACTGCTTCAACTTGCACCTGCCCTGGAATGGCACCAGCAGTTCATCTATGGTGACACAGTCACCATAGATGAACTGTCTTCTGCAATTGACTTGTCCTATGTCAAAATATTCCTAATCAAACATGCTCAAATTCAAAGCTTCTTACTGAATACCACAGTGAATGCATGTGTGTGAAGTTCATGTAGGTATACAAATGTTGAGCTTGTTCATAGAGTAAGAAAGGAAACATAAAAAATATTATTTATGATGAATAAAAATAAATAAATGATAAATGATAAAATATGTATATTACAAAGGTGTAGCAAAGCAACACTCAGCCGTACATGAAATTACATAGAAAATGGATGTGGGTCATTTTTGACCCATGTTGTGCATTAGAGGGGTAGTGATACAAAAATCATTTTTATTCAAAAAGTAAGAAAACAAATCATAAAATGAGGATGTTTGAAGATCAAAAACAAGTTCATTGAGGAATATCTGGAATACTAAAAGATGAAATTAATCCATTGCAAAGATAAAGAACATAAAAACTCAGTCGGGTCACTTTTGACCCATGTTGTGCATCAAAGGGTTAAGAGCCAGATCCCTGTGAGTGTTGACCCGCTCCAGTTTGCTACAGACAGAACAGGAGTGTGGAGGATGTCATCTCCTTTGCTCTGAACTCTGTCTACAGTCACTTGGACAATAGGAAATCTGTGGCGAGAATGCTTTTCATCGATTATAGCTCTGCTTTTAACTGCCTTGTCCCAGGTAAACTCTCGGTTTAAGTGTTGCCATGTGTAAATGGATTTTTAGCTTTTTAACTGACAGATCTCAGAGAGTGAAAATCAATGAGTGTTTTTCTGATGTTGTTTCTGTGAGCACTGGTTCTCCTCAGGGGTGTATTTTGAGTCCTTTGCTTTTTACTTTGTACACTCACAATTGTGTGTCCTCCTCTGACTCAAACTTGATCATTAAATATGCTGATGACACCACCATCATCGGTCTCATCAGTGACAATGATGAATCCTCTTATAGAGCAGAGATCGAACATGTTTTTCAGTGGAGTAAAGTAAACAATCTCCAGCTGAACGCAGCAAAAACTTGTTTTTGACTTCAGTCGCAACAGTTCTCATTTGCCTGTTGTTATTGACAACTCCCGGGTACAGATTAAAGAGGAGTGCAAGTTTCTGGGTTTAACTCTGTCAAACGACCTGAAATGGGTTAAAAACACTGACCGGGTTGTCAAGGAAGCTCGTCAGCGTCTCTACTTTCTGCGTAAACTTAGAGAATTTACCACTAACTCTAAGATTCTGCTTACTTTTTATCGCTGCACCATTGAGAGTTTACTTGTTGGTTCTGTGTCTGTGTGGTTTGGAAACATCACAGATAAAGAAAAGAGAGCTTTAAACAAGGTGCTCCGCTCTGCAAAGAGGACTGTGGGCTGTGAGCTTCCTGTTCTGGAGGTTCTTTATAAATCCAGACCTTTAAACCGTGCTCTTAAAATCATCAATGACTCTTCTTGCCACCCTGGGAAAGCCATGTTCCAGCTTCTTCCCTCGGGGAGAAGATATCGGTCGCTGAGATGCAGGACATCTCGCTATGCTAGCAGCTTCTTTCCACAAAATGTTAGGTGCCTAAGCAGAGCACTTTAATTGTTGCTTTTACCCCTTGTATCAGTTTTTTTGTTGATCGGTGCCACAGAGTCAGCTGTTGTTATTTATGTTCAGTGTATTTTATATGTATTGTGCTCTTTATTCTGTTTGTGCACACAAACATTTACCAATTTGGGGATGTATTCCAATGTGGTTTTCATACTGCACATGGCAAATAAAATGAATCTGAATCTCAATCTGCTCTTCCTGGTCTCTCCGTGTTTCTCGGCACGAACACCTTGTTTCCTGCTCCTCCTGGTCTTTGTGTGTTTGTGGTCGGCTCACACCAGGTACGACAGCTTTGACTTTAAATCCTCTCATTATTATTATTTCAAAAGTCTGTGTCGTCTGTTTACTCCTGCATGTACTCGAGTACTGCTCTACAGTACATGTACTTTCACCATACATTCTAACCACAGAGAGACCAGAGAGAGACCAGAGAGGGACCAGAGAGAGACCAGAGAGAGACCAGAGAGAGAGACCAGAGAGACTAGAGAGAGACCAGAGAGAGACCAGAGAGAGACCAGAGAGAGACCCAGAGAGAGACCAGAGAGAGACCAGAGAGAGACCAGAGAGAGACCGAGACTAGAGAGAGACTGAGACCAGAGAGAGACCAGATGTGAGTTAGGCCAGGACCCTCCTGTCTCCTCCTGCTGCACTGTGTCCAGGACAGAGCAATATCATGAAACAAAGTGACTCTGGTTCTGATTCCAGCCTCTACAACATGGACCCACGAGGATCTGGCCCCGGGTCTAAACCCAGACCTAGACCCGGACCTGGAATTGGACCAAGCTCTGTGTCTCTGAAAAGTGACCACTCCAGAGACATTGGTCCTGAGTTCAGAGAAGATGGTCCTGAAGATCAGAGGTGAGACTTGAACCCATGTTGTTAAGACAGTGCTGTGTCTCGTCCTTCATCAAAGACTGTGGTTCTGTGGCACTTTGTAAATAAACAGAATGAATGTAGAATCTACTGAAGACACCAGGAGCGGGTCTTCACACTGAGGGAAAGAGAAGCTTCTGAGTCCTTCTTCACAGGGACAAACATCTCTGTGGAGGATGTGTTTCCTTCAGGACCTGAGGCTGGAGCAGTGGAGGACCCTGCAGTAAAGATAAATGTCTTTGTTGTGGATCAGATGGAACAGTTGCAGACGCTGGTTTCAAAGCCTTCTCTCTGGAGCCGCTTTCAGAGCCTGGATTGGCTTCATGTGGAAGACTGAATGAGACAGAATATATTTGCAGATCTGAGATCAGCTCCGTGTGAACGTGGCCAAAGAGCTTTCTGACAGATCTGTTGAAGCTCACTCACATTTGTTAGGGCACTTTTTATCAACACATGTTGACACCAAGACCACAATGCAACAGGAGAAAGTGATGATGATGAGGTGAAGAAGCCCAGGGCCTGTAGAGCCAGAAGGCAACACTTCAGAGTCACCACAAACGTACAATTTCATCTGTGGCAAAATGTCTGGTGTCTCTGGTGCTGAAGCTGGGAGTCCCAGGTTTAGTGCTGTGTAGAAACTCTTTATAGAAACAGTCCTTTTCTCTCCTGTTTGAGTCTGTGTTCTTCTATTGTGCACACTAAATAAATGCTGAGTGTGTTTCACAGGGATCCAGGTCCAAAGGAGCCGCTGGACGCCATCTTGAGGGTGAGTGTCCACCACCGCAGCTTGTGTGGCCTTCTCTGGCTGCTCCTCAGCGTCTCTCTGTGAACTCTTATTGTTCTGTTCCAGCGTCTGCAGGAGGACGTGGTGACTTTTGTCAAAGAGCAGCTGCAGAGGATCCAAAGGCTCCTGGCCTCAGATTACCCAGAATGCTCTGAGAGTGGGGAGGAGAGCAGAGAGGTTCTGAAGATCGCCCTGGACTTCCTGAAGAGGATGAAGCAGGATGAGCTGGTCCAGCGCCTGCAGAGCAGTAAGAACTCTCTGTGTCTGTAGCAACACAACATGTGTTTACTAGAGACACACACATTTCTGGCTCTCAGGCTCTGAACACTCACCACACATCAGTAATGGGCCCAGATTTCACCCAAATCAGAACATTCTTTTGGATCATGGAAGTAAGATATATAGTGTGTTTATTTGGGCACCTGGAAGACACAAAAACAATCATACAAAAGAGAAGCACAGAAAATACAATTGTTACGGGTTGTGTGTTGGACCCCAGAGCAGAGACAGACTGAGCACGATTCAAAGAAAGTCTTTACTCACAAAAAGTAAATAACAAAAACACAAGGCAGGCAGTGGAGAGAGGAAGCTGGCTGGTCAGGAAAAAAGGAGACCTGAACACAGGACAAAAAAACCATAAGCAAAAATCATCACAAGAGCATAAACTCACTCTTCTGCTGCACACCGACTTGAGACATTTAATAATCTGGCAGAGAAGTAAGTAAGTAAGTAAGTAAGCTTTATTTATATACCGCCTTTCACAGACCAGAGTCACAAAGCGGTTTACAATTGTTGTGAACCGCTGCACGTCTGCACCAGAGCTTTATGCAGAGCTGATGGGGAACAGGTGTGAGCCCACACACCTGCTGCAGAGCCAGCCACGCCCCCAGTCACACACATGCCCTGAAACAAAGGGAGGAGGCAGAGCAGACCCAACCCAACAACAATAGCCCAAAAGGGAGTTGGCAGAAGCTGGAACAGCTTATCTGGGCCTACCCCCTGGGGGTGGGCCATATTATGATGGCGGCGGATATGATGCACTGCTCTGGTTCTTCTGGATCTGTCCGCAGCGTTTGACACCGTCGACCACCAGATCCTCCTGCGAAGACTGAGGGATGGAGTGGGACTGTCGGGGTCAGTGCTTCAATGGTTTACTTCGTACTTATCTGGACACAGTTTTAGGGTTGCAGTAAACCAGATATATTCTGAGTCAGCAGAGTTGTTGTGTGGTGTCCCCCAAGGTTCCGTTTTGGGTCCGCTACTTTTCCTGTTGTATTTGACCCCCTTGGGAAAGATTGTCCGGAGATTTCCTGGCATCTCGTTCCACATTTTTGCTGATGATATCCAGCTATACTGCTCTTTCAAGCCTACCGAGCTCCAGAGGCTTAACTCCTTAGTCCATTGCTTGGTTGAGGTAAAACAATGATTGAGGGACAACACTTTGCAGCTCAACGCTGACAAAACAGAAACTCTGGTGATCGCCCCTGATGACCACATCCCAGGGATAAACCAGGGCCTAGGTGACTTAGGCCAGTCAGTTAAACTGAGGCTCAGAAACTTAGGTGTTATTTTTGATAAGGACATGTCATTAGTGCAGCACTGTAAAGAGCTGACCAGGAACTGCTTTTTTCAGCTGAGGAGAATCTCCAAAGTCAGGAAAATGGTTTCACAGAATGATTTGGAGGTGATTATAAATACGTTTAGATGCGTTTGTCTTCGCGTTTAGACTATTATAACGCTCAGTTTTCATGTTTAACAAGAAAGAACCGTTTTTCATCTTGTATCTTGTATTCTTTCTGACCCATGTAACATTTTAGACTTTATTCTTTCTTACATGTGTTTAACAAAATGTCCAAACAATACAACAAATGATCAAACGACAGTTCACATGTCAGAATAGGAGCATGTTGAAGACCGAGTCTTCTTTTGTTTTGAGGGGCATGAACAATTAATCACTTCAAGCTTTGTTTGATGAGCGCCTAAAAAAAAATATACAATATTCACACATTTAGTTATATAAAATATACACACGTTTAGTTTCCTCACAATCTAATTGCTATTGTTATTATTCTCGTTGTTATTATTTTACTTTTTTATTTTTTCTAAATTAGTTTTTGAAATATGTCAATCAATGATTAACACACATTTAACTTTATTCTAACCTCTAATTCTGATTATTTTTTACATGCACATACATACACACACAGATATGCATACATAAAGTATGTACACATACATACACACGCACACACACACACACACACACACACACAGACATGTACACATAAAAGTATGTACACACACACACACAGACATGTACACACACGCACACACACACACACAGACATGTACACACACACACACACACACACACAGACATGTACACATAAAAGTATGTACACACACACACACACACACGCACGCACGCACGCACGCACGCACGCACACGCACACACACACAGGCACACATCAAAAACCTACATGCAAATACTACATTCATACCCATATATAATAATTTACACATATCTATATTTGTCCATTAAATATAATGTATACATGCAGTTCATTTGGTCAATGGTGTGATGTGATTTAAAATCGTTGCCCAAACTGTTCCACAGCCTGATTCCAGTAACAACAAAGCCTCTAAATGGTAAATGGTACACAAAAGTTTCCTTTCCTCCTGCTGTTTTCATCAGTTAGTTTAATTTCCTTTAAATATCCTGGTTAATATGGTTTTTAACTGAAAAAAATCTGAACATTTTAAGGTATTATTTTTAATGAAAAGATCATTGGTGTGGTCTCTTGGACCTTTGTGATTAATGTTTCTTATTGCTTTCTTTTGGAGCAGGAACGCTTGGTTTGTGACACTTTTGCAAGCATTGCCCCAGACCTCAATACAATAAAAGCAATATGGTACAATTATAGATGTATAAATCCTGAACAATACTCTCTCAAAGATATATTTGAAAGTAAAATACCTATGGATTTACATATTTTATTACTTATATAGTTAATGTGACTTTTCCAATTAAGTTTATTGTCTAACTTGACTCCCAATTTTTTTTTTTCTGAAACATTTTCAGTTGTATTTCCGATAATATTTTATTTCTGCTCTGAATGTTTTCTAGTTCCGAAAATCATACATTTAGTTTTTTCCAATTTAGATACAAATAATTGCTATTAAACCATGTTTTTATTTGTGCCATTTCAACTTCTATATCCGTTATTAATGCGTCTAAATCATTTCCAGCTTTGTAAACGGTGGTGTCGTCTGCAAATAAAAGAAAGTCCATGTTTCTGGTAATTTCATAAATATCATTAATAAATAAGATAAAACGTTTTGGCCCAATTACAGAACCTTGTGAAATCCCAGATATGATTGTTTTACAGTCAGAGTTACTTCCATTTATTTGAACATATTGCTGTCTGTTATTTATATAGCTTTCCAAACATTTATGGATCTGGCCTCTTATGCCATAATTATTTTGGTTGTGTTAACAATAGTTGATGATCCACCGTGTCAAAAGCTTTCTGTAAATCAAAAAAAAATACTAACCATATATTGCTTTTTGTCAATGGCTGCAAACATTTAATCTGTTAGATGAGTGAGTGCAAGAGAAGTTGATCTATTAGATCTGAATCCATACTGGTGTTCAAAAAGCAAATTATTTCTCTCTAAAAATCAAGTTTCTGTGTAAACCATGTTTCTGTAATTTTGGAAAACTGAGATAATAATGACACTGGCCTGTAGTTAAATTCTTTAAATAAGGGTATTATTTTAGCAGTTTTCATGTTCTGAGGAAAAATGCCAGTGTTGAAAGAAAGGTTGAAGATGTAGGTCAGAGGAGTGAGGACACAGTCAATGGTCTTATTTACTATGATCATGTCCGGGCCGTCACAACATAATGGAAATACAAGGCATTGTGCAAGAATGTTGAAAGTATACTGAATTGAGACTCTGGAAATGATATTACCATCTGCTCTTGGTGGGTCATGCCTGGATCACTTCGCATTCTCAGCTGGCACGTCACGACTTTGAGGTACTTTCTCCGTGAGTAGTTGGACAGTGGGCACAGCTTAGGTGAGGTGAGTGTGTAGAACAGGGGTCTCCAACTTTTTCCCCCAGAGAGCTACTTTCTCTCAAAAAAAAATGGCAGAGAGCTAATAAAATATGCAGTACATTAATTAATTGCTACTGTCTAAATCCATTGGGGAGTTTCCTGGGAGGGGTTAACGAGCTACTGGTGGCTCCAGAGCTATAGGTTGCCCTGGTGTAGAATGAAGTGACAAGAGATTGTTGTTGCATTAAACATGGCCATTGCCTCATCTTCCTCTTCACCGAGTCCAGCCAGCCAAGAAAGACCAAGACTGAAGTCCTGACAAGCCCCAAGATCTTTTGCTCAGGGGACATTGAAGTCTGGCCCTAGATATAACTGGATATATAAAAGTGTATTAAAAACCGACTAAGAGGGCTAACTGCTCTGCCACTGCCAATTCAGCACTGTCTAAACGCTAGACATATGTGTATTTGTAGAGAGATTAATCCATGAGTGCCTTGACATTCACTCAACTTCCTGAAGTGTAAACCCAATATCTGTGGTTAAACTTCTCCATCTGGTTCTGTTATAACAGATCTTTTTCTTGTCTGCTCTGCTTGCTCCATCTCCTGTGCTTCCTGCCCACTGGCCTCACACCTCTCAGGTTACACAGGACTCTGGAAGAACTCTGGGGGAACTGGGACAGTTAGCTGAGGCCACGACCCAAATGAGTGAGAAGAAAGGCCAGAGTACATAACCAGTGTTTTAGAATAATTGTATTAATACATTATTGTGAATGTATTAATAATTCAATCATTTGGGGCTGCAGTTGAATCAAAAATAATTCATCACAGCGTAGTAGATTGGAAAAGGAGAATCTGGACAGATGGGGTACCCCTGTACTGTATGTTTGTGCAAGAAGGTTCTGATGTTGGTGGACAGAGCCAGAATCCCTCAGTATGGCTTTGTTCATTTCAGTTTGAATGTGTTTATAGATATGTAGCACCACTCCTATAAAAGCGCTGTGCGTAAGAACATATGATGTCTTAAACTCAACATCAGAACTTCTCCTTCTGCAACAAATCCATTCTCGACAAAATCAAGACTGTCTCCATTGCCGTCCAGTGTGGAGTATCCATCGATCCCTCCATTTTCTTCCACGTCATCCGTTGCCGGGTTGTAGGGGCAGCAGAGACGCTCAGACTTCCCTATCCACACAAACTTCCTCCAACT